GGATTTTGATTTTGTTCAAACTTCAGTGGGCCCTTTAATTCGAATCAGATTTGGAATTCCTGGGCGGTGGAACTCGATTTTACATTCTGTCGAAGAAGACTATACAAGCTCTGATGGGATTGACTTTTTGGACTCTTTCTTTATATCGTGTACAGCGGAGCGACTTCTTTTGGCCGTAGAAATAGTGGGGCTCATATAATCTAAATAAATATCTGCATGAGGGGCCAGGAGATTGTAGGGGGGAAGAAATTAAGAAAAGGCACATGGGGTTTTGCTTTCTGATTCCCTTCCTTCTGTAAGCCGCGCAGAAAGGAAATATAAAGTGGAATTTCATTTCGGTCGGGTACAGTAGCAGCCGGAAAATGAACAGCACTCCCCTGGAGTCATTCCAAGGAACGTTCTGAACAAAACGAGCACCGACCAGATGGCGGATTTCGCGCCGTGAATTTTACTTCCAATTGAATAGTTTTATCTATAAGTATTAAGGAAACGGGCAAGCGATTGTAATTAAGGGTGAGCGATCCCCGATTCCTTACAGATTTCGCCTCAAACCTACCATCGGGTACAGGTTCCTCATTTTTTGGAGCCTGAAACCTACCCATTGAAACGTGAAACCTAGAACCTACCTTGTCACAGGTTCCAGGGTCGGTTCTAGGTTCTAACAAGTTATTTTTTTTTTCTTGTTTCATTTTTAATTAAACAAAATGAAAGACTAGTTATTGGACAAACCACGAAAATTGTAAAGGTGTAAAGAATAAAAAGTGGCCTATTACATAATGGATTTGTTTATCATTTGCAACTAAGGATGAAAACTCTCATCAAAATCAAGATGGATCTCACAAAAAAAGAACATGACATCATTTGTGGTATATGTAAAAAATACCAATAATAACAGCCATATATGTTGAGCAAGATTGAAAATGATGGCCTGAGATAGATGTCATCATCCGTTTTAGCATAGAACTCAGCATCAAAAAGTGCATCAGTGGTTTTGAAGAAAGCTAACCTACAGTTTAAAGCGGATCAGAGAGAGAGAATGGTGCTCACGTTTTGTAGGGGAGTTTGCTGTACTCCTCTTCTATATCCAATAGTAAGAAGTCATCATACTGTGCCACTTCCGTTTTCAATTCCATCATTTTTGCCCTATCATTAGTCCTACCAATGAAAAATCTAAAAACTAACCCAGTGTCTTCCTCCAAGCTGCAATTTTGTCCACATACTCACAATCAAATCAGATTTTTCATAAATACCACAAATGATAAAGCATAAATGAGCCGAGATCAATTAGCACAACCATATTCGTAGTAATAACAATTCCTAAATATTCTACATTAAAGCCATCGGAGAAAGACCAAACGAGATAAATTCTTGACAGTAGCAAGTTTCCCGGTGACATAAGCTATACTCATGATTTCAAGTTTGATTGCATCGACCCCAATTGGATCTAAAAAGATCACCCTTTCCCTCATAATCACATCCCAAACCTACCCATAAGAAAATTCTCAACAAAAGAAGTAGACACAACACAAGGGCAAAATAACATAACCCATATTCCCCTCCAAGCTCCTTTAGACTAGAAAAGTTTTTGTTTATAGATAGAAATGCTTTATCTATACTAATACGAATTCGGAAAAATTAGCTAAAAGCAAAGAGATCTCGCCATGGCTATATCTATACCCATTTAGATGCCCTTTTGCCGCAAACGAAAAATCAACTCAGCCATTACAACAATTTTAGCAAACAAACAAGCAGGAACAAAACTCCAACTTCAAAGTGCTCTAACAACCGCACGAGCCAAATTGACAAAAACCCTATAGTCGTCAACAACGTAACACCAAATCGACCACTGCCGTCACCTCATCTACAACAACGAACCAGAAGGAGACGAAGAAGAAATTTGGTTATCTGATTCTTGAAGGTAGCAGAAGACGAGGTAAGCAAAGTGATGGAAGGAGCTCAGCGTCGCAATGGCGGAAGGGGTTCAGCATCGCTGCAGAACGCGGAAGGCTCAGTGTCACGACGGAAGGGGCTTAGCATCGCGGCGGTGGAAGAGGCTCAGCGTCGCAGTGGAACGTGGAAGGTTCAATGTGATGCCGTCGATGAGAATTTGAGAGCTGAGACCGAGAGTGAAAAGTGAAAAGTGAGAAGAAAATTGGGGATTTTACAATTATGGTACCCAGAGAACCAGGAATCGAACCGAACCCGCTGGTCCGGTTCTTCAATTCCCGATTTTACCTTGGAATTGTGCTCACCCCTAATTGTAACATCGTAATTCTCCGATTATTAGTAAATTATTTACTGCCGACTCTCTCCGTGAAGTAGGTACCGATACTCGAATCGAACAGTGTAAATCCCTAAGGATCTTTATTGTTCATCGTTTATTTCACTAGTGATTTCGAGTTTATTTAATTGTAAGATCCGGTAAGCTTCCTTGTTATATTACAACATAATTGTCGGTTCACATTATCTTAGATTTATCTTCTTAATGTTTTCGTGAATAGTACAAAATTACTAAACTTTTATTGAACAGATAAAAGCGAAGGATATCTCCAATTATTTCTTGTCAGCGAAGAATAGTACAAAATTGCTGAACTGTTGTTAATGATGGAGATTGCTGTCCACGGCAATTTATACATCATCCTCATCTCCGGAGTTCGGAGCCTTCTCTTTCTCGTTTTGTGATTGGTGTTGTTATGAATTATCTTTGTCAAGTGTTGCGATGATCAGTATTTTGTCGTTCAGTTTCATGCATTTCACCGTTTTCATTTTCTCCCAAAAGATTGATAGAGAGAAAATGATACTGTCCATTGAATTTGACTTGAATTTATTGGATTAAGCTATTCAAACGGAGTTAATATCCGTCAAGAACTATCGATTCATGTCGCGAGTATGAAAGTAGGAAAGCCCCCGTTAAAGTTCTCCAAATTATGGTGCCAGACCAGTCCATTAGCTCTGTCCAAAACCCTAAAACTCACATGTAGGTAGCTCTACGATAGCACCACAACATCAACAAGAGCCGTAACTCTTTAGGAAGAATGCCAAAGCAGTACTAATTGAGACAGTATCACTGAAAATCATCATATGGCCTGACCATAAAAACTGCTTTGAAATCAAAGTTTTGGCCTCTTCTCTCCAGCATCTGTACAGGTGTACTCCTCGAAGTTTTATTTCGACAGCAACTCAAGGTTTATTACCACTCGCATGGATAGCAATGGAGGATTTTCAGAACAACCATGACCTTGATAGAACTTTAACTCTTGTGATTTCAGTTAACTACCTTAGGGTTTTCCAACAGAGCAGGATGCCTTGCCAAAGCTCCATCCTATGCAAAAGATCAAATTATTTTTTGAAGTGAATTGACAGGATGTAAATCGTAACCCCCCACGAGCAGTACAAAAAGGATATTTTAGAGATCCAAAAATTGCTTCACGACTGTTATTTATTTGTATGGGTATGCAAACGGTACATGATAACCGTATGTAAGCTTTTTATACATTTCACTCTCTGTTGGCCTTCTATATTACTAAGATTACTTCTTCAACATTTGCTACTAGTAGCTATATTGCTCGCTGGTCGTGGCTACTTTAGTTCTGCAACAGACATAGAACATACGTGGATTATGAATTTCGTTTCGTCTGCAATCTGGTTCGGCTGATTACCATTTTTTCAGCAAAAAGTTCTTGTCTTTTCTCGTACCGTTTGTTGTTGCAACATTAGAAGATCGATCTCCAGAGAGAGAATCAGCGGATCAATTCTTTCAACCTGTTGTATACCCTTGTTGTCTCGACTCCAACTCTAGATAGTCTCACCTGCAATTCCATCACCAACTATTAAATGAGACCTAGACATCTAATCATGGGGCAGACAAAAACGCTTACAACGAATTACTTAAGAGAGGAACAAAAGAAAAATAAAACTTAGCGACGGAAATTATCATCCTAAATTTCAACGCACCTAGAACGAAGCGTAGTGAAGTTTGTAGTAGTCATATAACCTCTTAAAAGTAGACTCCCGAACTTATGCTTCAAAGTATATGTAGTCAGCCTCTACCTTAAAGACTAACTTATTATGTGGTATTTATAACTTTTGCTCAGTCAAAACAACAGCATCTCTCTAATTCAAATTTCCTCAAGAGCTTGGCTGCTCCAAGACGCGTCAACTTAAGGAACCCTAGTTTCCATTCTTTAATTAAGTGAGGATAACATCAAGATTATATGATCTTTTTCTCTACTAAACCAAAATTATTACATCCTTGATGAAATAATTGTAGATAATGAGTTACCTGAGCATGGAGTGTGTGGAAGATCTTATCACCGATAACAGAAAAGCTGGCACTGACAACCTCAGCTCCTTCTTCCTCGAGAATGCTGATCACTTCATACAACATGAAGTTCTTCCTCCTCCCACTGATCAAGATCACTTCTAGACCTAATCCGTGGTCTCTCAGTTCAAACACCGGAAGCGTGAACCCTAGGTTGGCCTCCTGATCATTCGATGAAGTCAACGAGCTGCTTGGGTCAATCCCTTCGGACAGCAGTATTGCTTGTTCCTTCCTCAGTTTCAACCCATCGATCTTTTCTTTCAACTGCTTTATGTATGATGCAGCTTGATCCAGTTGATCTTGCTGCGACAACAATTCCTGAAATCCAAAAAAGAGAAAGGGAGATTACGTAAATTTTCTCTATTTCTTGATTGTTGAAGTTGATACACATAACCCGGATTTATGTACATATTTTTCTAATTATAAACTACAAAATTTTGAAAGATCAATTCCATCCATTTCCAAGAAAACTTAGGATTTCAAAAGACAGTTTATTTTCAAGAACTTCTTGTTAAGAAGCCAATAAGAAAAAAAGGAAATTCTGGTGTTATCTAACGGTTTAAGCTCGGAAAGAAGGTTAGGCACTTTACTCGATCACTTCTAGTAAACCGAGAGAGAGAGAGAGAGAGAGAGAGAGAGAGAGAGAGAGAGAGAGAGAGAGAGAGAGAGAGAGAGAAACCTTAGAAGTAGTGATATTGTGTTGAGGAATGAGGGAAGCAAGCTCGGAGCAGAGATTTTTCATGTGGATTCTTCGGTTTTTCTCCACGGTTTTGCGCTCGACTTTCGGTGACTGATTGTTGCTTGTGCTTTTGTTCATCTTTGCGTTCCAGATTTGATCTGCTGTAGTAGCATTCACCTACAGAATACAAGATTATTGTGCCTGAAAAAGAGCAGAAGGCAATAGTTGAAAAGAGAGTGCGTCTTGAAAGACTCCTGAGACTTTCGAGAGAGAGAGAGAGAGAGTATTTGGAAAGTGAAGAGGTCTGATGTTTGTGTGCATGCGTGCCTTTAAATGGAGAGATTACTGATGAAGAGCAAGGAAAAGTAAAAATAAACGGAGAGATTGCTGAACCCCACCGAACCTAGCTTTCTACAGCGACGCGAATGGAAGTTGGGAACTTTAAAGGCAACTGGTAATTATAAAAGTTGCTGCTTGACTTGTATTCCAATAGTCAAATATTTTGCGCATGGTATTACGTGTGTAATGTGGTCAAAGTCTTGCTTTGGAATTTCAACCTAAGCTTCTGTAGTAAATCACCATGGCATGTCATCTAACTCTTACACCGTTCGTACACGGAGTAACTGTCAATCATTTTTTAAGAGAGTGATTTCGCTCGCTAGAAGAAGAAGTTTTTGTGCTTCTTCAATGGACAAAATAGCCCGTGTTCATACAAAATTACGAAGGTTATGCTTTAATTGCGAGGGGATTAGGAACGACACAGAGCGTGGGCCGCACACGCGAAATAAATTGAAACAAAACCTGGCTTTGATATCACATTAGAAAGTCTGACCCAAAAAGTTTAAGTCCACGAGTAAATGGAGACCACGTGCAAAGAATATATAAATCCCATAAACAAGCAATGTATGACACTTTAATAGAGCTTGTTGCTAAGTATTAAATGCCTTTCACTCCAAAGTGTTTTCCACCCAACATTATATCTTATATGATCATTTAGGAGGATGAATGACACCATTTATGAGAATCTAAAACCTTCTCGTTAAATTCATATGTGATGTCGACCGCACTCACATTGGATCCACAATCATGTCATAGGAGGGTGTGTACACCAAAATAGGTAAAAGCCCCTTCAAAAGGCGGCTTAAGGCCACACGAAAAGTCATGGCGAGAAGCATTCCAAGTGAACTTAGTTTCTGTGTTTTCTTTTCATTTATTGGTCAACAAAATCTGAGATAAACTTTGAATTTTGAGCTTTATTTGTTGTAAATTTGGGGTTTACAAATTATAACGAGTTCAAATTTGTGCTCACATATATATATGTATGTATATATAATATAGTGGGGTCAAAAAGTTCACAAAACAGTAGGGTCAAATGTGCTCCACACATAATAAATAAATTAATTAATTACACTAATAGAGACTAGTTAGTTTGTATTGCTTGGGATTGCCTATGTTGACTCCTGACCCTTGACCCTTTCTTTTTGAAGAAACCGCGCTCTCACCGACCACACCGTCGTACCAGTCCCTCTCATCCAGCTGGCTTGGACCCATCAACGTTTGACGAAGTGCCATGTTTTTTAATAAAGGTCGTCGTTAGGTATAATTTCTTCTTTATCACAGTGAAAAAAGGGGGTCTTTTTGACCATCCCAGATGATGCTCGATCGGAAGATTGGACGAAGACCAAGAACGATTTTCGGGACGGGACGTTTGACATTCTAATCAAGGACCACAGCAATCGATTTGACCTTCTCGATCGGGGCCAGCCGCCATGCCCGTGTCGTGACATTATCGTGAGAGACCTGACCAATTCTAATCATGGGTTGGTACTGCTTTAATCAGCAGTTCTGGCTCCCCCAGTCCATGTCGACCGGAACATATGTCGCTCGTCCAGGGTTTCCCGCATTGGGCTTGCGAACTATTTCGCAAACCATCACGCAAGCCGTAAATTATCTTGCCACCTCTTACGCAGAGTCGTAATCGATGTCCATAAGTGTCGCGGCGAAATCTGTATATACATCTCCATAAGTCTGTGGTGTAATTGATATTTAAAAGCGAGCATTGCTTGCATTTGAGTGCTTCGAGATTGAACGAAAATATCATTTGGAAAAATTATCAAAAATGTCATAAACCTATTACAATTGTGCCAATTGAATCCTAAATTTTATTTTACTAATTGAGTCCTAAACTTTTATATTTGTGTCATTTCGATCTATTTGGCCAAGGCCAAGACTAACATGGACACCAGTCATTCTACACGGCACGGCCAACGCTGGCATGGATAATTTTAATAATATTTTAATAGGTTTTTCGAATTTTTTAAATTTTTAAATTTTTACTTTTTTTTTCTTTTCTAACTCTTTTTTTTTCTCTTCCCTCTTCCTCTGGCCGGTTGCTGGATTGAGGTAATCGACCAAAGGCGAGGGCCGGCGAGGTCGATCTCCCCGACCCCTGGCGAGCCCTCGATGGCCAGAGGAAGAAGGAAGAAAAAAAAGAGAAAGAAAAAAAAATAATTAAAAATTAGAAAAAAATATTATTAAAAAATATTCACGTCAGCGCCGACCATGCCACATCAACGCCGGCCAGCCAAAATTTGCCAGATGAACTAAATTGGCACAAATACAAACTGTTTAGGACTAAATCGGCAAAATATCAATAGGTTTATGGCATTTTTTGATAATTCCCCCGATGTCATAGTCCCCCTAAAAGTAGCAATATAATTCAAACCCGTCTTTTCTAATTTATTCTATGTGGTACATGTAATTCCTTTTAATTGATTAGGTGGTATGTCTTTTCATGCGAACCCCACTCGTGTGTTTGGAACGTTTCCCATGTTGGCCGTGAGCGAGAGGTGTGCACCTAAACTGCCTGTCTTCCTGCTATTTTGGGAATCACGCTCGGCTGACAAATAAAAAAAATCATTTTCCGAGCGGTTTCGTGTGTATGAATAAGAGAAACAAAGAGTCCCTTCGTTGACTTCGACCCGAACGAATGCTTCTGCGAGCAGACCGTTTTACATGCCCTCTTTAGGCATCAGTGGTCTGGTGCCTTCTGCGAACTAGCTAGAGGTCTCCTCATTGTCGTTGATTGCCGCAATCCGATGTAAACTCAACGACGAAAATCTCCTCCCTTTGTTCTTTGCCGACATGTTCTTCAGTTAATTTGTCTAGGGAAACCCGATGAGGAAAGATGAAAGGGACCGTGCACGTTAGAGGATACCGAGGGAGAATTACCAAAAAAGTCATATACCTATTGTAATTGTGTCGATTCAATCCTAAATCTTTTTTTTTTCGGGCCAGTTGAGTCATAAAATTTTCGTATTTGTGCCAATTCAGTTCATCCGGCCAAATTTTGCCGAAAATCTCTGACATGGACACAGGGAGTCCTGCTTGGTGCGATTGGCGCTGACGTAGATAATTTTTAATAATATTTTAATATTTTTTCGAAATTTTTTTATTTTCTTTTTCTTTGTTTCCCTTTTTTTACTTTTCTTTCTCTTTCTCTTTCTTTTTCTTTTCTCGCCCTCGTCGCCCACTGGCGAGGTCAAGCTTGACCTTGCCAAAGGCTCTCCCTCATCGGCCAGAGGAAGAAGGAAAGAAATAAAATGAAAGAGAAAGAATAGAAAAAATACAAAATTGAAAAACAAAATGAATAATATTAAAATATTAATAGAAATTGTCCACGCCAGCACTGGCTGGGCCAAGTAGGACGGCCGACGTCCATATCAGCGATTTTCAATCAAAATTAGCTAGATGGACTGAATTGGCACAAATCCAAAATGTTTTGGAATTCAATTGGCAAAAAATTTAAGACTTTTGATGATTTTCCTGTATATCTAAGATTGGAAATTTATTCTCTTTTAGCACATCGTGAATGAAAACACGAGTTTCGAAGCACAGTTAACACTTCCTATCGAGTATCCCACCAAATCTTATCGTTGATTAACCGGCTACAAACATACTTTTCGGCATTTTCCAGCACTTTTCTCTCGTGTTAGGTCATCGTTTTTAGGCACGAACTCTTGATGCAGTCGCGCCCGCAAAAAACTACGCTACCCTCGGGAGCATGCGTTCAACATATTGAATGAGAGAGAATACTTAGGTTTTCAAAGTGTTGACCGTGCGTATCGCGATAATAATTCGTACATTGAAAATCGTATTATTTCCTTACTCGATTGCTTGACAAGCGCGAACAGACCAGAAGCTTCTTCTTTTTTTTTTCATGGCCTGAAAAAAAAGAAAAAGAAGAAGAAGAAGCTTGACAAGCGCTCCGTAGCACCTTTTAACGAAATTCTACACGTAATACTCGAGACGAAATGTGTTGTTATTTAAAGCTTTAATCTGAATATTATAAGCTTCGAAACGATTTTGTGCCCTAGGAGACTAGATATCCAAAAGTGAATAGTGTGTATATATATGTACAAATCAATCATCTTATCGATTTTGCCAAGAGTAAAAGATATTCCGCATACGGAATAATTTTCATAATTAGGAACTCTATCAAATTAGTTAAATATTAAGTTACGCCATCTTTTAACGGCTTACATTTTAGGGTGAATGTTGGGATATGTAGATATATAACCGCGTTTTCATTTAACAACTCAAGCTTTTATGGTAGTTGACCACGGAATTTCACAAATTCGACCGTGGCGATTCTAGTCGAGTCATCACAGTCGTACGGTAGTTAATTGTGTCAATTTGGGTCGCGAGAAAATATTCCGGCATGATTAAGATTTATTTTTTAATTTTACTAAAAATTAGCGACAAGATTTCGAGTCTAAGTTTCTTTCTGTAAATGTTTGTCATGAATCGTAGTGTCGCATAGCGAACAATCGTCATAGATGGCGTCGAAAGCAAAGCATTTGTGACAAAACTGAGGTTCCATGCTAGCAAGCGGCATGTCCGAGAATGAAGTTTCCATGCAAAGCTAGTGTTGAATTTCCTTAGCCGTTATTAATATCCTCCACTGTTTTTTTTTTCCTTCTTGTTTGTCTTTGTCGTGATTTATGTCAACAAAAAAGATGAACACACAAAATCAATGAGAAAATTATCCAAAAAATCATAAACATATTGCACTTTTAATTTGCTAATTCAGTATTAAACCTTTCAACTTTGCCTATTGAGTCCAAAATCTTTTCACTTCTTGCCAATTAAGTTCATCCGATCAATTTTAGCCGGAAACTATTGACGTGAACATTTTTAAATAATATTTTAATAATTTTCTAAAGAAATTTTATGATTTTTTCTTCTTTTTTTCCTTTTCTCTATTTTTTTTTTGTTTTGAAGTTAGGGCCAGCAAGAGTGGTCAACTGACCCTCACCGATCACAGGCGAGGGCCAC